GGGGGGGTTTGGGGGGGTGGGTTCCACATTGAAATAAAAGGAAGCTAATTAAAGATTAGCCACGCTTTGCCAGAGGGGATCGTATTAACCTTGTCACCACGCACAGCACAAAGGTTCGCCGTCCCCCCCGGATGCTTTTGTCCCTCATTTTGGATTAACCCTGTCAGCTACTAAATGCGACGTCGTCAGATAAGATAACCAAGCAGGACTTTGATACTTTTTTGTGAACGCAACGGAAAACCCACTGTATGCATATTGCATTTCTGGATTAGTTAGAGCAGTAGGCCTGAGCCTTCAGTTGAGACTGAAGAGACCCAACGCATTTCTTAAGAATAGCGTTATAATGTGGCAATTTTACCAAATAATACACGAAAACACAATGCAACAATGTGTGGCATTATTAAAGCAAGAAACATATTTAGGCCTTTATCTTCTTCCAAATAACTCTAAACCTCGACTTCAAAATATCATTTGGAGCAGTTCACACCGAGATTTATTGAGGAACATGACAAAGACATAAACACTTTAAATAAAACCCATTATACTGACCAGAGATGCTGATTATTCATGGAGAAAGTCCTTCTCCTTTCTTTGCTCTTGCCTGCAAGCTTGCCGCCACGCTCACACATGCTGCTCTGGAAGTGCCGAATGTATCTTTTTCCTGGTTGAAACGAGCAAGAGTGTTGCGGCCCTATCCTCACAATGTCCAGTTTTTCTTGAGGCAGCTGTGCTTGCGTAGAAACAGCCTACCAGGAAGTAACATTGAGCCTTGAGGCGTTTTCACCTGGTTGGTCTATTTCCGTTTGGCACTCTGAAATCACTCCGTCAACCTTTGTCCAATTGAATATGCGTCTTCTGATGTCATTGCAACGTCACTCTCGAGTCGAACATTTTTCAATTCAAGGGCGTGCCACGTCGCGCCATACAGTATGCGCGCCTTGACGCGGCATTCCTCGCAGCACATACACAATGAACATGTTCCTCGAATGCTTGCGACTTAGCTCACAACACAACAATAACTCACAAGGTCAGAGCTTGACCCGATGTCTTGTGTTGTGCCCCCTACTGGTAGAAATAAACACGAGGCTGAATTTTTGGCTCGGCCCTAAGGGAGCAAAGGACCGTTCATCGTTGCTCTTTCTTTTCCTTCTGCCATCTTACCATGGCTTCATAAAACTCACCAAAGCGTTGTGGTCTGTCTCCCAATTCTACTACTGTTTCACCACCACTGTATTTCCATATAAGCTGTGTTGCAAAAGATATACAGTAGTAGATTTCCTCCCCCACAATCATTTCTTTCTGCACACGTTACATCATCCCCGACGAAATGTTGCTCCCCCCGCCCCCTTTTGCCTGCTTATCTTTTATGAAAAGGCTGACCAGAGGCAGTGCACTTCATTGTTCGATCATGTCTCGGGTCTTATCGATTGAAACGGTACCTCAAATCACCCTTCAGTGGTGATATATTGTATTGCGCTGACTAGCAAACGTAACCTCGTAAAGCACATGCGTGTAAGGAGGCACGAAGCTGTAGCTGTCACGGGAGTACTTTTGCTTCGGGGAGCTCGCCAAGCTTCCACGTGAATGTTTCGCCGAGCCATCCAGATGAGTGAATTTTGCGGTTTGTCAAATTTGCCTTCAAATCCGTGCCTCGACTTCTGTGACCGCAATCTAAGAAAGGCCCTTCACAGTAGGCCGACTGTTACGTTTCATAATCAAGGCTTTGAACTAAAATGCACCGGAGTGGCAAAAGAATCTATCATTGTCATCCTAGTGCAGCATTAACATCAGCGCTCTGTGTTGTGTCTTGACAGAAACCTCGGCAAGTCGGGTCTGCGCGTGTCCTGCCTTGGATTAGGTAAGAGCCAAACTTGCGAGAGAGCGGTTGCGGTGACCTGGATGCATTGTGTAACCGAGTTATGGCGGGAACTCGGAGTCCCTTCTCATCAAGTGGCCACAAAAGATGGTTATTATTTTGAGGACTCCAGTGGCAAGATGTGAAAAGGACTGAAGGGGATAGAAATGGGCTGAAGTAATGCATTTTTTTTCATAATGAGTACTGTCACTTTTGTACATTTGAAGTCGTTTTGAACGAATATTATGATGTCAGAATGTAATCAGTTATGAAAGCAAATGTCCAAACCACATATGTTACACTTTGCACATATTCATGATATTTCATCGTTGGATTGCAAAAAATGATAGATTTCCATCATCCCTCATCGTGGTTAGCACGTCTGCATCACAGTTACTAGCTTTGAGGATCATGTCTCGACTCCTTTATGTGTGGAGTTTATATGTTCTTACGGTCTTTGGATGAGTTTTTTTTTTTTTTTTTTTTTTAAGAGTACTCACACATTGCAGCTTTATTCCGCTTCGACTGTTTTCAAACGCAACATAACCTAGATTTGTTGAATTCAGCGGTTGCCAAATGCTGAACTCAAAATTAGGTCATATCACAAAATCATGTCCGTCTCGTCCGTTACGAAAGCACAGTACGCGCATACTGATCTCAACCACTTGTTAAATTGGTTCATGTTACAATCACGGAGTCCGTGGTACTGATTTGACTGCACAGATAAGGATTTGCAATCGTAACTATTGAAGAGGTTCAACAGTTACGATTGTTACCCTGACTTGAATTCCAAGGAAATCAGAGAGTGGGGAAAAAAAAACTGAGCAAACCCCTCTCCACCAGATAATCGCCCGGGATGATCTTTTGCTGACTTTGAAGGGGGAAATGTTGACATTCGACGCGAATATTGGTGTGCCTAGTCTGCTTAACCCTTTCAGGCACAGCGGTTACTACAGTGGACATCTTATCAGGTTACAGGGTGCACGAAAAGGGTTAATATTCTGCTTCCTTGCTCTGTTATTCTCTGTGCATGAACAGGAACATGGGTGACGTTCGGCGGGCAAATTACAGATGAGGTGAGTTGATTAGCGATGAAGACATCATACATTGGAGTTGCAGCCCTTGGTTTACGCGTCGAAGGGCTAACGCTTGTTAGTGTTTGTGGTGTCGGTGATCTTTCATCCCTCCGCTCCCTCTCTGGCTTTCCTTGCCCCTTTTGCTTTCTCAACAGATGGCAGAGCAGCTGATGACTCTGGCGTATGAAAATGGCATCAATCTGTTTGACACGGCCGAGGTCTACGCTGCGGGGAAGTGAGTGTGCGCCTTTGACTCTTTTCAAAACCCGCCGCCACGTGACTGATTAAGTCGGCGAGGCCATATTACAGCCCGATCGAAAAGCGGCCTTGATCTCAGTGATTCACCCGAGTAGGATATTCTTACCATGACGTTGTTTTTTTTTTTTTTCCCCCTTAACTCTTCATGATAAAGTTGTCCGTGTCAATACAAACGCGAGAGGCGCAGCTGCAGAGGCTTAGAGAAAAGGAAGCAAAAAGTGCAAAAAGCGAAAGTCAGTTGACATAAATGCAAGTTGGTTTGTTTATCCCACAGTGCAAGACTAGAAATAAATTCCCACTGTCATTGTCAGCTGTTTTTACGAGGACACGATGCAGTTTAGAAATGATCAAAGACTTGGAAGTGACCTCCATTTTAGCACCGTTTTTGTTGCAGTGCTATTATTAAAGGCCGGAATCTCAATTTAATATCGAACCCTTGTTTTCTCTCTTGTGGATTAATCTGGTTGTAACTCAGCTGCTTTGATGTAATCTGAAGGATTAACTCTTCCAAATGGAGTTTCCCCCACCCCCCTGTGTGTGTGTTTTTTTATTTTTTTTATTTTTTAGATTCCTTCAAGAATCATCTTGTATGAGTCCAGAAACATAAACATGGTGTATTTTCGTCTTGGTTTCATCCGCAATGTCATTGTTAACCCCCATAAAACAAGCCCTCGTTTTTACACCACCAAAACACAACGACACGTTCTGTGCGAGGCACGTGCAAATGTTTGCCACACAGCTGAGAATGTGGTGTTGCACAGGTGTTAATCCTGACAGCTTCCACTCGCGAAAGCAGCATGGAGGCGATTATGTTGCACACATGACACACACACACACGCGCGCGCGTGGCAACGACGGGGTGGAAAAAGAGCTTTGACTTGCGGCATGTGTTTGTTATGCTGTAATTTCAACGGGGGTTTTGGATGTTGTCTTCATATTTTTTCGCACGACTGAAAATAGCATGACAGCGTGAGTTGTGTTTCTCCAAAATCGGAATTAATACGAATAATCACATAAATAATAAACACTCGCTCGCTCAGCTCACCGGGGCTGCCGTTATCAGGAAGCCCATGTGGCACTCTTTTTTTTTTAATTACCTTCAGATGCGTCATAATTGCCTGATATTGTGTGCGGAGCCAGTGACAAATTGGCAGTGCGATTGCAGACAAGTGTGAAAGCAATAACATATTATAAATTCATAGATAGGGCATTTTCTTTTCCCTCTGTTTTTCTCTGGCAAGTCATAAGATGTAATGTGAATGGAAACCTAATTAATGGAGGGATGAAAAAAGATTATGGAGCTCGTGTTTTGGGTCCCCACAAATAAACAATTTCAGGGAAGGAGCACGGGGTTGCATCGCGTGGGTGCCAGCAGAGGCATGCACGTCTCTGCCTGCACGCACACAATTTGTGCTTGAGCTAGCACGATGTGACAGTGAAGCATCTAGCATATTGTCTCTGTTCTCAGCCAGTACCACAACACTCTACAGCACCACACGTAAAGACACAAAGGCTGTGCTCCTGCCGATTGTCATAAAGAAACAAATGCGAATAAGTTTACTGTATGCGTGTCTTGTTACACGAGTGCATCCAATTACTGTCTAACTACAGTGAAAATGCAAAAGTGCAACACAAGCTGCTGGAGGATGCTGGTTGTCTGATTTGTTTGGATTTTGAACTCATTTTTCCCGAGAAAGTCATGGAAATAGAAATTATAAAATACCACACAAGACATTATTAACTATACTAGCACTTAAAAAAATGCATTCTTAACGGGCATACAAGTGTAAAAATAAGTGAGCCACTGTTGACAGTAAAACACAAAAAAATATGAAAGGGACTTAAGTATACTCAAGATGAATGACAGCGGTGGACTGCAAAGGGAATTGTCAAGTGTAAAATAATTCACCTCTGTAAAAACTACTTTTTTTTTACAAAAAGGCTAATTTCTTGATGCTCACTGAACTAATTTCTCAAGGTACTATGAGGTAGAGTGAATTTTGAAGCCGGTGCCTTTTTCCCAAGAGATGTGTAGAATCCTTTAACATTTTTGTCAAATTCCCAACGGTCTAACCTCCGCTTTTTAGTTTCTACTGTACTGCAATTGAGCTAATCACACAAATGACCACGACTCTTTTCGTTGAACTTCATAACATCCAGTGGGTAGAAAAAGTCCACACCCTGCTATTTAAATGCCAGGTTTTTGTGATACCACAAAAATGAGAGAAACTTCAATCATTTCCGAAAGTGCTACACCGTTGTTTGAAGCATGAGTGCGCACACACACACACACACACACACACACACACACACACACACACACACACACACACAAATGACTTTTTGGGAGTGCTGTCCAAATGAGCCCTATGTTGAACATGTCACTCCTTCAGCACCCATGTGGCGGCGTGAGTGACATGGCGTGCGCTCCGCAGCACAGCTGGAAGCTGGCGGGTCTTTCACACACATAAGTCATGTCAACATCCATTTTCAACACCACTTATCTTGAACAGGGTCGCGGGGAGTTGCTGGAGCCTCTCCCAGTTGACTTTGGGTGAAATTGTGCCAAAATTTAGTCTATAATTTTCTTGAATTGAGTTTTGCCAATTTGACTGTGTTGAATGAACATCGGTCAAAATAGCCAAATGATATTTATTAAAGAAAAAATAATCATGCTAGTAGTCGTTTTGTGTTAATTAAATTAGCCTGAAATGTCAGTTACACACACACACACACACACACACACACACACACACACACACACACACATTTGTTCCCAACGACATAAAATTCCCCACAAAAATCCACTGAAAGTGCCTTTATGTAACGATTTCTCTTTGTGTTGTTGACTTTTCTCCACCAGATGGCACTACATTTTCTTTTTGCAAGAGTGGCTAGCTAATGAAATATGAATAAGTGTGTTTTGTTGAAGTTGGATAAAGGTGTAAACAAAAATGACCCATTTCAATAATAATAAATAAATACGCCTTGATTATCATCTTTGAAAATTATTTTCATTTTATTGTGGATAAGAACAGATGATACTTTTAGGTCTTCTTAAGTGTTGAATCGCGCTGTCTTTGTGTGCTTGGCAGGGCTGAGGTGGTGCTGGGGAACATCATAAAAAAGAAAGGCTGGAGGTAGGAGACGTACTTTAATATGTTTGGTTTTTTTTCTGTTCTCATTTCCGTCACACCAGCCTATCTCTAATCTTGTCATCTAAGATCACACATATTGGGAAGGGTGTGAACTGGAACCAAAAGGTAGGACGAGGAAAGATCCAATGCGGCATGCCCGCGCGGCCGCGTGCCTCCTTTGAAGAAGATCCGCCTTGCAAGGGCCTTGTCTTCTATTTGGTCCGCCCAGGCTTGGCTCCACTACAGCTTTGTTAATTTATACACGCCTCCACCTCTCATTCATATGTGCTGGCTGAGTTCCGGCACTGTGGGTGCATGTGACACTCAAAGGATGAGGTAGAACCAAGCGGGACTCTTGGTCCGTCTTCAGCGATCGCCCACTCGCGCGGAGCAGGCTGTAACCTTTGGTGATGTAACACATGCGCTTTCATTCTCCGCTTTGCAGACGCTCCAGTCTTGTGATCACAACAAAGATCTTTTGGGGAGGAAAGTAAGTTGAGAACGCATCTTTAGTTTGTCACCGATGCTCCTGATAGCGGGGGAATGTCTCATTCACGTTGTTGTCTTTCACTGTTGGATCACATTTCGTGATACTGGATGACACGATGGTTGTGTTTCTCTCTGTGCAGAGCCGAAACTGAAAGAGGTTTATCTCGGAAACATATTATAGAAGGTGAGTGCTGACTTCAAATATACAGGGTGTCCTCAGTTGAGGACGGTCCCAGAATACAGTACAAGCTTTTTGAGGTTACAAAAGGCTCAGTGGCGTAAAATGACACGGTGACAAGTAGCCACGCTCAGTTATCGCATAAATTCATATTTTTATTTTTATTTTTTTCTTTTGAAGTAGTTTTCACTTGTGTTTAAAGGTGAGATCGTTGGCATATTGCTTTTCAAAATAGAACATTTAATCAAGGTGTTTTGTGTTTTTTGATGACGACAACAATTTGAGTTTCATAACTATTTGACTTCGGTTTTACTCTTAGTTGCTCCTCAAGAAGAAATGCTAAAAAAAAAAAAAACATCGTGCATAAAGCAAGTTGTTTGTGTCAAGCTGCATTACTCCTTCTGATTTGCAGGTTTAAAAGCTTCTCTGGAGCGACTACAGTTAGACTACGTTGACGTCGTATTTGCAAACAGACCGGACCCCAACACGCCTATGGAAGGTAAGGCCAGTAGACTTTCTCTCAGTGAACCTTATAAATCACAACCTCGATGACTCTCTTTGATGGAGTAAGTCTCAAACATGTCCAAAAAGTTAAAAGATCAATTTTTATGATGGGGCATGTTATCTTGCTGCTTTTGAGGCTGTAGTGACCTTTTTGAAATGGCAAAGTGCAGAATGCTTGTTTGTGTGTGAGGGCGGGCGGCTTGGGGGCTCAGCTGGTCGCTCGCTCTCCATCTGCTCCTGTCAAGAGTTTCTCTTTGGTAATGAGTTCAGTCAGGGGTCGTCGTGTCTGCCTCCGCTTCGGTGCTTCGCCAGACTTCCACGACTCTGTGGAGATTCGAGTCAGAAATCACCAGTGAATTTCAATGGCATAAGAGAAATAGGACTTCATAAAATCATGTATCTTAGTCTTTGACAGTTATAAACCAAAAAATACTGCTTCTCTCAGCCATCCACATTCCCATTCTTTGCTAGTACCGTCGGTGAATTTACATGAAATGCTGTTTTGTTTTGTTTTTCACGACAGCCTGACATCCCGTCCTGCTAATAGAAATGTGTGTCGCAGGCTATGACGCAAATCCACGTTGACAGAAATGTTGACATTTAATATTTATTCTACACATTTTTAAAGCATTGGAAAACGTTAAGAATGTTTGTGTCATGTTTGTCCTCTTACAGAAACCATATTAAAATATGTATATATATTTCCCTCCCCTATATTTTGTTGTTCTACTTCTTCCATTCATAACTTTGCTGCTGTGAATTGGGAATTTCTCCATTGCGAGACTAATAAAGGTTTTCTTATCTTATCTTATCTTTTTCCATTTTCAAACATTTTTGAAAAAGCTCCAGGGAGCCGCTAGGGCGGCGCTAAAGAGTTGCATGCGGCTCTGGAGCCGCGGGTTGCCGACCCCCGACCTAGACGAACAAAGAAGTCTCTTTTCAATCAATTTTCAGAAATAAGCAAATAACTAAAGACTTGGCTGTGTAATTTCACCACTTGTTGGGTGGGGAGGCACGCTAGAAAATTCCATTTTTTTTTCTATTGACCTTGAAAGAATTAAAAACTTTTGGTTAAGGTTTTATGATTCTCTGCTTTGTAACGTTTTGCGATTCTTTTCCACCTTTAGAAACCCTGTTAAGGAGGGAAAAAAAACAGCCTAGAGAAGAAAGTTGTTCACAAGCCTTCCAATCTTAAATGAATTGTTTTGACGGTTTTATTAAAATGAGTTAAATCTAATTTGGAATTTGTGTAAGAGCTTGACAGACGCTAATGTCACCACGTCTCTTCTGTGCAGAAACAGTTCGAGCAATGACCCATGTGATAAATCAAGGCATGTCCATGTACTGGGGGACGTCCCGCTGGAGCCCCATGGAGATCATGGTGGGATTCATAGCGCTCAAGACTGCAAGTTTGTGGAAGCGGACTTCATCTTGTTTATTTGTTGTTGTTTTTTTTTTTCCCACCCACCCCCTCGAAGGAAGCATATTCTGTGGCACGACAATTCAACCAGATCCCTCCCATTTGCGAGCAGGCCGAGTATCACATGTTTCAGCGAGAGAAGGTGGAGGTGCAGCTACCTGAACTTTTCCATAAAATAGGTGAGAGGCGAAGAGTCAAGACAAAAAGTTCCGCGTCACGTCACGATGATGAGGTTCTCTTGTCGTGCAGGTGTGGGGGCCATGACGTGGTCGCCGCTGGCCTGCGGGATCATCTCAGGGAAATATGACGGAAGGGTGCCCCCGTACTCTCGGGCCTCTCTGAAGGTAGTCACGTCCGTCTCATCCGTTTTGCCGTGCTGGTGTCCACCTCCTGGCGTGGTTCCCTCTCTGGTTGTTGTTGTTGTTGTTGGTGGTCCATGGCAGTTTGTTCGTTCATTGTCTCGTCACATGAGTACAATGCAGCGGTGTGTCCTTTGTGGCAATGTTCCCCCCCAGTGACTGTCACTCACTTGGCATTTCAATGTTGTGCAGTTTCATTTCCTTTGTGGAATGTGCGTCTTCCATGCTTGGCTAAGTGAATGTTTGTGTTGGTGTATTGATTTGAATTGTGTCTCTTTGCATTGGTTGTTGATCATTTTTTTCCTCCCTTCAAGGTCTCAAAAGGATTAGGGTTGGTGGATAAAAGCATGTGCAAGGGTTTTTGGTTGGACTTGGTTTGAGGGATTCGTGGAAGGATTTGACGACAGGAGTTGGAAGTTGGGCTCTGGGCTAGAGTTAGGATTGGAAGTCATTTCACGCCAGGATTAGAGTTCATCAGTCAGGTTCGAGCTTCTAAGCAAGGTTTACAGTTGGCAGAGTTGAGTCAAGGTGAGCCCAAGATTTTCTTGTTAGGTTTCGACATCAGAGTTAGAATCTGTACAAGTAGTCCGGCTCAGGGTTTCAAAAAGGGGGTCAGAGCCTCGAGTTATTTATTTAGTAGTCAGGTTCAGGCAATAGTTGAGTTGATACAAGTCAACTTGTTTGTCAAAGACATTTTGAATCCAAAGGGCTTTTTTGGTTTCAATCCACATTCAATTTAGGACTGAATAAGCCTTTTGGATGAAAGGTGAAACATCTTCAACAAGAATACCTCCGAGTTCCTCGAGTCAACCTTTGAGTCAGGTTGAGAATTTCACGTGAGGCTTAGGGTCAAGTTTGAGTTGAGCTGAAGGCATTCGCGGTATGGTTTGACTCCAGGGTTGCATTTAGACACTAGAAAAAATGGGAATCAGCTTTGGTTTTCAAGTCAAGCGTCGTGTTTGAGGTTGGGCTTGCAAATTCAAGGATGAAAATAAGGGCTGGGTTCAAGTAGTGAACCGGGATTACCGTTTGACGTTCGGGTAAGGTTCAAGTTAGGTACATATTTTATTATTTGTGGTTAGAAGGGTTCGGTTTTGAAGCTAAAATGGGGGTTTGAAAAAAAAATAAACAACGTAATTTAGCAAGTGAGGTTTAGGGCGGGTGAGACAGAGTCACGTGTTTAAAAACAAGCCCTGGTGACACGGGAGGCGAGGCAGCCGCGGTGTGAGCAGGGCGGTGTTTTTGAGCAGGTGTGCTGTGTTTTCGACAGGGTTACCAGTGGTTGAAGGACAAGATCTTGAGCGAGGAGGGTCGTCGTCAGCAGGCGAAGTTGAAAGAGCTGCAGGCGATCGCGGAGCGGCTGGGCTGCACTCTGCCCCAACTCGCCATCGGTACGCAGATGCATTCTGCTGCTCTCTCTCTTTCTGTCTGTCTGTCCGTCCCCTCTGGCTCGGAGGGGCCGAGGTCGGTGTTTTATTTTTATTTTTTTTACGTGTTGTGTCCCCCCTGTGTGCTTGTTCGGGCCAAGTGAGGCATCATCATCACGAGACCAAAAATCGGTAGTTCATCTATCATGAGATCCCACAAGGGGCTCACGATGTGTACATTGTAACATATGATTTATCATCTAACATATGAAAGATCTCGAACATTCCTTTGAATGCATTAGAAATGTCGTAACTATCAATTTATGGCATGTCAGTGCCTCTGCAGCATATGTTCATCTATATATATGCAAAGTCGCACAGTATTGCTTGGTCTCAACATGCATTTCGCGGTTTCTGGAGTCAGCAGCAGGATGGCATGCCAAACATAAATCCCACCAGTGGATCCATATTGATTCCGCAAGAAAATGAGACTGCAAAAGAAAAAAACAACAAAAAAAAAAAAACAATGAAAAGCCAAAACAGGTGGCACTCTTACGAGAGCCATTAAAGCTTTCACGACTGGTCACCAATGGACTTCTCCGCTCTTGTCGCGGCGTAGATTTTTCATGCTGGCAGGAAGACGGCGTTTATGGATTAGCTTTCACGGCCCATTAACGCACGCTCTCGTCTCTCCCAATTACCATAAATCCTCCGGGCACTCCTATCGGGGAAGCGCACAGCGATTTATGTCCTCCAGGTGATCATATACATCACTGTGACACTCCACTATTGAATATAAACTATACAACAATGACTTCCTGCACCCGCCACTGCTTTGGGCTGCACGTCCTCAATTCCAACACTCAGTGGCCTCCTCCATCAATACGAATGTTTCATCCCCATTTTAGTTTTGCAGTCTTTATCCTCAAAGATTCTTCGAGGTTGCACTCTCTGGCTAACAGCTACATATGGGCTTTAAAAAAAAAAAAAGTCTGGCTATTTTCTTATGTGGATGGGTGGATGTTGATTTTCTTTGGATTTCTCTTCATGTATTGTGTGTGTGAAAGGTGCACGTGATGGAAGAGAGGAACAAGTTGATAACCATGGAACAAATGTACTGTGACTGATGTCATACAAACTGTCCGGGCTGCTCAGTAAATAGTTGTTCACGTCGGGTGGAAACCTCAAATGTCCAAATATCGTAAATTTCATGCGCTTTCACACATCAATAGTTAGTGTCTACCTGCTGTTATTTTGACAAATTACAAACCCAATCTTAAGTGTTAAAATAGCTTGAGAGCAAATTGATTCACTCTGTACACTTCAACTGTCCGAGAACTAAAAATATCCGAAAACCACATCTTTTTCACTCCACGGGAGCCTTAAGATTGAAAGTGCAGATGTGTTCTAGACAAAAAGTGAGAAAATAGTGAGGTAGTATAAATGTGACTAAGCATAGCTTCGAAAATTAAATTGGCTATCATGCTTTGGTGCTGAAGGAACTGGTCAGCCCTGAGGGTACAGTAAATTTGCGTGCAGATTCATATCTGCTTTTGATACTGCTTAGTCAGCTCTTGCTTGCATGTTCCGTGTCATTCATCACTGTTGAAATAGAATTTGGGAAGATGACATCATTTCTGTTGTTAGCTTTTGTTCAGTATTGGGTATTGTCGAAGTCTCCGTGCGATTGCGCCCTGACCGGCACGGCTTGTGGTGGCGGCGACATTTCTGTAATATGCTAATTAATAATAGTACAAACGATCGCTACGCTTCCCCTGATTTAAAATAAAGAACGTGGTCATGACGAGGAGTTGTGTTGATGTGGTGCATATCATTACATGTTAGGTGTAACATGAAAGGTAAGCATTGTACCAACTTGAACGATGCAGTGTTTGGTAACTCGAGCAAGATGGCGTTTTTGTTATTGTTTTGTTGAAAACTCTTGCTTTTGGCAATGTGAATTATCTGCCCCGTAAGAGACTATACGAGCATGGCAGAAAATCTATTCCACAACTCGACTCTAAATAGCATTTGTATCATAATATGTCTGATTTTGTGTGTGTGGAAGAGGTCAGTGAGAACACAAATGAAACAACCAGAGAACATGGAACTTATGATGATGTCGGAAAGCAATAACCTCTGTCCCGAATGTAACTAAAATGTAGCAAAATGCAAAATAGCTCACGACAGGCGATGAAAATGACCAGGGAGGACAGATTTACTTTCAAGGCTTCGTTACCATTATAAAACATTTGAATACTGTACTAAGTCGTCGTGGCGCATGTAAATGGCCGAACATGTATTTAATTGACCACAGATCTTAAATTAGATTCAATGCCAAAAAAAAAAAAAAAGATCTCTGTGTAAACCCGGGTATAGCCCATTCCACCTCTCGTGTTTAGCAACGAGCGCTCGGTTGCTGTTTGTGACGATGTTTGCATGTACACTATGTCAGCGGTGTCATCACTGTCCACTGGTCTCCTGCAGCATGGTGTCTACGTAATGAGGGGGTGAGCTCTGTCCTTTTAGGGGCATCCAACGCCGACCAACTGATGGAGAACATCGGAGCCATTCAGGTGAGTTTTATGGGTGGATGAACAGTGGGTGCGTGTGTATGTATGTACTGCTTAAAAGAAAAAAGTGTGCAATTTTGTTGGTGGAAAGTGTATGTGCATGCGTGTGTGTGCATCGGATGAAAAAAATGTGTGTGTGAGTGTCCAGGAGGCTCGTGCAGCCCCTTTCCTGGGAACACATGAGCCTCTGGGTGGCTTTTCTGCAGCATGCTCTGCTGCCCCACCACTGGGTAGCAGCGCCACTGCCGCCTCCTAATAAGGTCAACACAGGAACACATGACTTGCCACAGGGGTTGAGGCTTAAGGACACCGCCCTCCCCTGCTGAGAAGATGCACCCTATGGATGTTTCCAGTCGGTCGTGAGGGGGGTACATCCTCTTCCTCATTTACACGCAGCATGAGTCGTCCCCATTTTGAAATGTTACGCTCACATTTCCAGAGGGCTCTGCAGTTTTCCTTGAAAAAGACACACTCTCTTGATACTCTTTTGGTTTTTGCTGTGTGGGGAAATACAGTAAGTCTTGTTTTTATATTTACATGTGATCCCGCCTTAGTAAAATGAGTCTGAACTTGCCCGGTTAGACTCCGAGATATGAGGCAATAATTGATCAGGAGGTCAAATTTTGACAGCTTTCAGTGACTAAAAGTTTTGTTTTCATGAAAAATAATTTTACATCATTATGAGCTAAAATGAGGCCAGGAATCAGCAGGTTTTTCAACAGTTGCTTCACTTCCAATTGCCGACTCTCCACATACGCATTCGAACTCCACGCCGACGCTCCTCTCTCCACATTCTCAGCTCCAGCAGCCATCCATCCAGCCGCACCAACGCAGACTGTCCCAACAGCGCCGACATCTCCGCTGCACAAAAGTGGGCTGTGAAAAATGCTGCCCGTTACAGGCGCAGAAAACACAAGCGCCCCAGGGCTATCAACAGGCGACAGTCATGTATCGCCGACGTTCCTGCCAATCCAAATCAGTGCTTGTACACGCATGCTCCAGAGCAGGTGCAAGCATCAAACCCAGATTCTTCTCCTTCGATGAATGTCGTGGCCGAAACGCTGAAAACAGTCCGCAACGGGTCCACACGAAGGATAACAAACACCATATGAAAAAGCAGAGCTCTTCTCGCAGTCGGCTGCCAACTACGGCGCCGTCTTAACATCAAACGATTGCTCCCAGTTCCCTTGTAGTATTTGAAAAACGGTGTACGCAACCTTTTCCAGCAAAATGTGCCCACATCCTTGTTCTTTTTGCTTTCTTGCCGTCCACACGTGGAATCATGGTATTGCTTGCTTTCTCTATCAGCAAAGGGGATAATATTGACTCACATCAAAATCGGAAGTGATCCGAGGGCTCTGTTGTGCTTGGATCTTTATATCTGCTGGCACGCATGGTAGTGGAGTAACCCTTCTTCCTCCATCTTCCTCTACAGGTTCTCCCCAAGCTATCCTCATCCATCACACACGAGGTGGACAGCATCCTGGGCAACAAGCCGTACAGTAAAAAGGACTACCGCTCTTAACGCCCGGTAGCAGCAGCGTGTCCCGCCTTTTTGCCTGATCCTCCGTTTGCTTGAGCTTCAACCGAGCGAGGGCCCCTCAGCCCCCGAACCCCCTCCCTCAACCTCAACCCTCCTGGCGCATGAGTGTGGTCGCACCAAAGGGCCACCGGGGGATCCCTCGCTCACACTTCCAGGGATATAGAAAAAGGGGAAAAAAAACTGGCGTCTCTCGAGAGGTTTGCGAATCAGACATTCAATAGGAAAGTGAGTGAAAAACATAAGCACACGCTGGCGTGGGTGCTCGGATGTTATTCTGCCACACCCAGCGAGCTGATGGTCACACGTGAAGAACACGAGTTCTCGCGTAATCCTCCGCGTCGTCTTGTTTGTGTCTTTGTTTGACAACAATCAGCACTTTAGTATGGTCAGTGTCGCTACCCTACAGCATTTTCAGCCACCGCACATTCACTACACAGGAAAATAAAGAAGTGGCCTCCTGATAGTTCAACTTAGCATCCTCCACTTTTACCGTTTTTTTTTTTCCTTTAATTGCGATGCTCCACTCTCTTTCCAAATTTTTTTTTTTCAACACCTCCTGTTCTATTATCCTCGTACGCATAGTTCACACGCCTGTGTCTTTAGCTTTAACGTTAGCTTTAGCTGTAACATTTAGCTCAAGGAAAGCAGCTAGCTTTACCTTTAATGTTAACTGGGTGAAGCGGACATGTTGGCTCGCGTTCACGATCATGCGGTGTTAACATGTCTTAGTTTTTGACATTCGCTTCAACGTTAACTTTAGCTTTAACGTTCGCCTTAATGTTAGCTAGAGAAGCAGCCATATTGGCTCGTGGTTGCCATCAGGTTCCGTTGACGTGCCCGTGTCTTAAGTGTGAACTTTGTCAATAGGAAGGAGCCATCTTGTCTCCTTTTTGCCATCACTGGGCGTTAACTGCAGAAGCGTGAAATGCCAATATGGCGTAAACATTTTGGACTGTGCTTTGTTGTTCGAATGTACTGCAAAGACATTTGAACATATTTGGTAAAGTCGTTTGAGCATATTCGTAAAATATCGTTTAAATACGACTAACAATATTTTTTCCCATATTGCCACGAGGTATTGTAGGGAAGTGTGGAATTGCTCAAAAACTGACGGTTATCCCCATTAACTGTGACAATATTAGCCCTTGTTCAGCATCAAATAGGGTTAATGTGACACTGTCTTTCGGTCTAACATTGAGTTTTTAACCCTACTTGTTCTCCATTAGAGGGTTTTACTGCATTTGGATCTTTAGCTTTGCCATTCGCTTTTGTTACTTGACCATTTTCACCCATGTTCTCCATCAGCGCTCATTAGCGCTTTTAGCTAAAGGGAGCAGGATCTAGTTTTCCATTAAAGGGTGTTCATGTGCTTTTGTGTTTAGTTTTAACGTTTTTGCCACAGAGCAAACATATTGGCTGTCCGTGAAAGGATGTTTGCACATGTGTGTCTTTAGTGTGAGCATTAGCTAGAGGAAGCGACAGTCTTTGCTCTTGTTTTCTTGGCCTGAGATTTTGTCTTGAGTGTTTTGCCTTATCGTGTCCCGCCAGCTGCATAGCCCTTGTCACAATGTTTTTGGTGTGCACAGAATACAAATCATAGTAGGGCTGAAACTAACATTGATTAATTTATTTGGTCATCTATCCCTTTTATTAAAAAAACAATACCAAAATAAACATGACATTATTTCATATTGACAGTGCAGAACATGCACAAACAAATTATTTATGATTCAGTGACTGGTTTGAACATGAGCAAAAATGTTGATCAATATACTGTATTCCAAATTAAAAGCAAATGCTTCATTTTGATTCAAGTTAAATAATGCTCTAAATGATTACCCCATTATCAAAAATACTCAATTCAGGGACTACAACTACTAAATTATTAAATTAATTGTTGCACCTGTAGATCTGTAGAATGTTCCATGTTGGTAAGTAAAAATTTCAAAATGTCTCTCCCCCCCCCCCCCCCACACGAAAAACCACACACCCATTTAGAACCGTTGTGAATTTTTCTATTTGAAAAATGAACAAAAAACGGTTCTGCTTGTGTGCTGCAAATGCAGTATCATGAAGAATTGGAGGATCCCCACTGGGGTTCATTGGGTTCATTTAAATCCTACCATGCATATGTAGTTTTGAGTTGCAAGCATGACCTTGGCATAAACAAGTTGCTACGGCAACAATCTGTATGAGGAAGGGATGAAGGGATTTTTTTTTTTCTGTGGCAGCAGCTCAGGGAAGCAAGCAGGTGTTTTTGTTGGCTTTGGACATGTGCTGTGTGTGTGTGTGTGTGTGTGTGTGTGTGTGTGTGTGTGTGTGTGTGTGTTTTATTTTGGGGTTGCAAGCCAAAGATCCCTCCAACACTCCCAGTGATGGGGGAAACGATGACCTGAGAACAGTAAACAGAATTCGAAAAGGATACACGCGTCCTTCGTCTTGGCTGCTCACTACAATTTCAACAATTTATTTTAATTAAACTCCATTTGCAATTGCAAATTATGTCAGAACAGATGCTGGTATAATTAGCATGGCTTGGATCAAACTGCAATGTAGCCACTTCTCAGTTAGTTCCGATTTTCAGCAGAGACCATTGAAGCGGCATCTTGTAAGGCTGTTGTGGGCAAAATGCTGTGAAACAAAATACACTTTTGCACTTGACCAAACTTAAGTACAAAAATAAAAGCATGAATTACCACAATGTTAACAATAGGTTTAGGTTTTGACTCTTGACTCCCCACCCCACCCCGACCCCTCTCCCTGGTCTCCCAAAAATTAAAATGGATCCGCAACCCCAAGTTCATGAGCCCTTCTTGGCTTGAAAGCACAAGTGGAGCCTCAGTCAAGACATCGATTGAGTCTGTGCAGAAAAGAAGACTGTGTAACTATTTTGTGTGGGCGTGGGTGCAGTCTTAGTTGGCTGTGTGCTCAATCAGTTGCTTTAAGTGTCCCATCGCACAAAGATGTATCACTGTCCTCATGGCGGAGGTGACTGACTTCATCAATGCAAAAAAAGGAGAGAATCTATTTTTATGTTTTCGCCTGTAACAATTCGTCATGATTCATCATCTTGGCTGCGTTGTTTTTCCCCCTCCTCTCAATAAGACTGACCAGTTGTGTTGTGATTGTGGAGAAAAACGGCCGAGAGAGACAAAGATCTCGTGTACATAGTAAGACTCGTGTATATATTATACATACATTATATTCCAGTAGTGATCGCGTCTGCCTTTTCTTTATTTTCGTTCAATTTTCTTTTTAATGTTGTTTTGCAGGCGTTGCTAACTGCACTGTGCTTGAATCTGAATTCTAGAAAAGGATGTACAGCTTCATCATCATTAAAAAAATTATAATAAAGAATGGCAAATGGGGAAAAAGTGTGCACATCTTTGTATCTGAGCTGTTTTCACAAAAGATTGTTGTCACTTTAAAAACAAAAGAGAGACTAAAGCTGAGAAATGGACTGTCAAGCAGACCAAACTACCAGGACATAATGTGCACTGTTTCGAGGACCATTTGACCATTTTGCTCCATTCAAATAGTATAACAACTGCAAATGTCTCAAAAAGAAAAATTTTAAAATATAAATTTTCACAATTTTTTGGGGAGGGAACATGGTTTTCAGCATTTCATGATTTTTTATTGTTACTTTTGTTCTTGAAAAATTCAACAATATTCTCAGAATTATATTTCACAAAATATGACATTCTCATAATTTATATGAAGAACACTTCAAATTTTTACTATAATCTCATTGTTTTGAATACATTCACTTCTAACCTTTGCATATTTTAATGAAAAATACAACTTGATTGTGATACATTTTACACAAAAACATTTTACAACTTTTCTCTCCTAATGGGACATCTTTGCAATTACTTTTTGAAAAAAAAACACGTTTTTTGATAGTATTTATTTTCTAAAATAAATATGCTATTTTCACATCAGTACCACATTATGAAAAATACAATTGTCAAAAGAGTATTTCCTTAACGACGTTTCATGAGTGTTTTTTATTCTCATGACATAATTCAAATGGAGCTTTATTCACTTTCTTTGATGAAAAAAATATTTTAGTCGAAAATATATTTAGACTTAAGAATGTCTTTTGTCCATTTCCTTAGCATGGCCTCAATATTCCTTTAATACCAACAAAATTATGTGTTAAAAAAAACTGAAGTATAAATTTTAGTGATTGAAACATCAACAGTTGATGTTGGAGGTGAAAAGTTGCCTGGTAAGTGTCAAAAAGGACAACAGATGGCAGCATATTACAATATAAAAAAGTAATTATTCTATATACAGTACAAAAGCTGCAAAAGGTATTTCAAAGGCAAAATATTAAAACACAAAATACGTGCAGTCAAAAGATACCTTTTGGATTTTGTTCTTTTTTTTCCACTTGTTAAAGCTAATGTCCCAGGGTGGAATCTCATCAGTCTCTTGGAATTGTTCATCCAGCGAGCCACCAAACGTGCACAGGGGGACGCTATAACGAGTTTTCCGAGCTTCCCGTGCTGTTCTCCGGAGCGAGTTGTGGCGGTCCTCCTAAAACACACACAGAATCAAGTATGGATCGAGAAGTCATTCATATTTGAAGAAAATTAACTTCCAAGAATGGAGCTCACCTTCCTGACAAGAGAATCCGATCCACATGTGCGTGCAGCTGCAGCGGCCATTGCGGGGGTTGCAGCGAGCGTCGTGCTGGCATTGGCAACTCTGCGTGCAGCCGGGACCGAAGCGATCCTCTCGGCATTCTGTCACAAGTTCAAAACTCTCTCAACATGTACGTCATGGAAGACGAGCCAACATTTGCTTAGGGACTCAAACAAGCGCGATCTCACCGAGGTCACATCTGGGTCCGGTTCGTCCGGGCTCGCAGAGACATCTTCCTGTGATGGGATCGCAGGGAGCATCGCGCTCGCAGTCACACACGCGAGCGCAGCCGTGCCCGTATGTGCCTTCTTCACACACTGACCACAAACAATCGTGATGCCAATGAGCCACAAGGGGGCAGCTCTTAGGTTGCGTTTGTGTGACGATGACTCACCTTTTTGGCAGCGAGCGCCTTGACGCCCGGCTGGACAAATGCACTGACCCGTCGCAGGGTGGCAGGAGGCTCCGGCCGCACAGTCGCACTGCAGCTGACACAGCGTCCCGTACAGACCGGATGGACACGCTGAGGAAAGCGACATCAATCATAAGCCTCATTTTTACCCCGTTGTGTAATGACATGACTGTAAAGCTGTCGTTTAATGACAAAATGTGATTGGACAAGCACCCTAAAACGTGGAACAGTTTGGAGTTCAATTGAACGTTTCTGTCAAATTAAGCCTCAAACAAACGTTGAAAAGATGAAGTCCACGCTTTTCTCTTTGGCTGTTTTTTTTTGTTTGTGTAGGAGTAAAAGCGTAAGAAATGTGATGATGATCATCGAATAGGAAATGGAACTGCAAAACATTATTTAAATGATACAGTGGTGTCCAGAGAAACAAGCTTAACGTGATGTGTAAACGATGCTTGTATATCTGAATGATATATTGTCTCAAATCAATTTTCTCCATGAAATAAATGGAAATGCCCTCCACCCATCACAGCAGCCTCATCGTGCAAAAAAAAAAAAAGTTGTTTTTCATTCAGAAAATAGCACTTTATAATATTGTAATTTCTAAAAACGGTAAAGTAAGAGTAACAACATAATTGAAGAAAGTAAAGAATTTAACAATTTGTGCTTTAATGATTAGTTCATTGCAGCCTCTTCTGGTGTGTGTAACTTGGCCACCAGGGGGCAATACGAAACAATACTGTAAATGTCACAAATACCGTAAGTGACACAGTACGCTGCTGTAATATTGGTCATTTTTCACTGAGGACAAAGAATATCTGCCTTTGATTATTGTTATGGTGTGTCTACAAGTGTTGCTCCACCATTTGTGTTGTGTGTATCTCTTCTTTATCCCTTGCGAAAAATGGCGACCGTAATAGTGCTGAAAGTTTACTTTAGTTTTGAAATTCTTCTTTGTATGTGTCTGTATCATACTGACCCCTGGTGGACTGACCGTAATTAGCGAAAATCAGTCTGTAATTGGCCCCCTTGAAAAATGCATTGAAAAAAATATATTGTAACTAAAATAATGGATGGATATAAATCTTGAACAATAAATCTGTAAATAGGTCAGCATTGTTATATTCTACCCCTAATATGGACCAGGCAGGACCTGCAGTGAAGTACACAAGTAGTGTCATATAGTGTAGTTTTCTCACCGTGTTCACACGCATGTCCGTAGTATCCTGGCGCACAATGACAAGTGCCGCTCATTCTGTCGCACGTGCTGTTATTTTGGCACTCGCACATCAGCTGACAGTCAGCGCCAAACGTACCTGCCAGGCATGCTAGGACGCAAAAAGATGAAAAAGAACAAGAGCGGGCCATCAAGTGATGCTCCCTCTGGATGTTTTGGGAGTGTGCGACGTCTTACCGGCGTCGCAGTGTCGTCCGCTCCATCCCAGACCGCACGTGCACCTGCCTGTCTCCGGGTTGCACGCGGCCCCGTTGCTGCAGTTGCAATGCTTCATGCAGCCCGAGCCAAACCAGCCTGGAAGACAACCTGACTTGCAAAAAACACACACGCGTTCACATATTGTCAATGACATTATTAAGTATACGGAAAAGGCTTTTATGATTCAATGTTTTTCTTGTAAACATTTATTCTATTTGTGCAACACGGTGGACAACTGGTTGCCACGTCTGTCTCATAGTTAAGGTGTCCAGGCTTTGAATCTGGGCTCTAGCTTTCCTGTGTGGGGTTTGCATGTTCTCTCCGTGCCTGCGTGGGTTTTCTCCGGGTATTCCGGTTTCCTCCCACATTCCAAAAACATGCATGGCAGGTTGATGGACCACTCTAAATTGTCCCTATGTGTGATTGTGAACCCATGACCTCTGTGTACTGTCGGGCGGACGTGCTAACCACCCGTGTGTATAGATGGATAGATGGATGCATAGATAGATCTACCCATCTATCTAGCTAGTTAGCTAGCCATGTATTATATATGATATGTACTGTATGGTGTGTGGGGGGTGACTCACTGTCTGTACAGTGCTCTCCTCTCCATCCAGGCGTCCCGTACAGACCGGATGGACACGCTGAGGAAAGCGACATCAATCATAAGCCTCATTTTTACCCCGTTGTGTAATGACATGACTGTAAAGCTGTCGTTTAATGACAAAATGTGATTGGACAAGCACCCTAAAACGTGGAACAGTTTGGAGTTCAATTGAACGTTTCTGTCAAATTAAGCCTCAAACAAACGTTGAAAAGATGAAGTCCACGCTTTTCTCTTTGGCTGTTTTTTTTTGTTTGTGTAGGAGTAAAAGCGTAAGAAATGTGATGATGATCATCGAATAGGAAATGGAACTGCAAAACATTATTTAAATGATACAGTGGTGTCCAGAGAAACAAGCTTAACGTGATGTGTAAACGATGCTTGTATATCTGAATGATATATTGTCTCAAATCAATTTTCTCCATGAAATAAATGGAAATGCCCTCCACCCATCACAGCAGCCTCATCGTGCAAAAAAAAAAAAAGTTGTTTTTCATTCAGAAAATAGCACTTTATAATATTGTAATTTCTAAAAACGGTAAAGTAAGAGTAACAACATAATTGAAGAAAGTAAAGAATTTAACAATTTGTGCTTTAATGATTAGTTCATTGCAGCCTCTTCTGGTGTGTGTAACTTGGCCACCAGGGGGCAATACGAAACAATACTG